GGCCACCGGCCTCCCGGCACACCCCTTACTGTTTTCTTAGCTATTTCATTACAAGCCTTTGACAGGTGCTAAACTCCCCTGGTCCCAGCAACTCCATGGCATCAGTTCTCAAGATTCCCGAGGACAGGTGTCTGAACCACACGCCAGGGCAGCAGGGGCAGCAGCATAGGATAAATCCCCCTCACGATTTCAAATTTCAAAACCTGCCCTCCCCACGCCCCTGTTCCATGGCATCTCCCCAGGGGGGAAGCAGCCAGCCCCGCCTGGCCCATGCGCCTCACTTACAACGTGGCCTCGCAGCTGGGTGGCAGCCTTCTGGAAATGCGGCATTATCCTCTTGCACATGCTGCACCCTGGTCACCGGGGGGGAGAAAAACCGGACTTGGTTACTATGGGCGCTGGGCCCTGCGCTCCGCCCTCCCTCCCCTCAGGACCACCTCTATCCACAAACATGTGCCCAGCCTCCAGGAACACATAGGAACTGGAGGCAGAGGTGCTGGCCCCCAAAGAGCTTACATTCATGAAACAGGACAGAGCCTGGCAGTGACAGTACCCGTGGGAGGGACAAAGCAAACGTGACATAGCTGGAGGAGGGCAAGGTACTGAATCACTGGGAGCCGACAGGGAGCTCAAGAGGAATTCAGGGAACCAGAACCGGTGCCAGGAGAACACCCGCTTCATGCACAGCGGAGAGCCTCCCCTCCCCACCCAGCCAGGGCTGCAGAGGAACCTGGATCAGATATCATTAGAACAATGTGCAACCACGGACACAATGACGTTTGGGACTTCTGTGCCTCTTCTCCTTCATTAACAAGGGTAATTGCTCAGTGACAGGAGGTAGGCCTGCCACGAGAAAGCTGGCTGTTGGCCCCATGGGGAGAGCGCCAGGCCAGGATGACACGCCTCGGGTCCCCGTCTTCCCTCCACTTGCTGGATGGCCCTGGACAGGTCACTGGGGGCTGCTGTCCTTCTGGCAAATGAGAAGGTTGGATCGGACAGTTCTGACATTGGAGGATTCTGTGATGTTCTTGGCTCAGCCCTCTCTGGGGTTCTGTGGTCGGCCAGTCACAATCCTCTCCTGGGGTGGTGAAGCCCCTGAGACTTGGGGAGCTCAGGGCCAAGACAGCTAGGCCCCAAACATCCACTACTACTTCAAGCCCCCTCCTCCCTCCAACCAGAGCGGGCCACACCTCAGTGCGGGTCCTGCAGAACACCAGCACCGTTTCCTCGGATGTGGGCGTGCTGACACACAAGGCTGTCTGACAGCCACTTGGCTGCAAAGCAGGCTTTGAGATGCATCTGAAGGCTGCAGACACCAAAGCTGCCCGGAACCTCACGTCAGGCTAGATCTCATCTCAGCATGGCACGGAGCAGACAGGGCCACGCGGCAGCAGGCTGACAAGTCTAATCCGTGTTGAGTGAACGACTTGGTAGGTGTGGACAGAGAGATAGAGACACTGGGGAGCTGTCAGCAGGTCAAACTCCCCAGGATCACCTGAACCTCTCAATACCAAGTCTACTGGACAAGGTGCGATGCATGATACTTTGACACAAAACTCTCAAAATGCCCACGACCCCCTCCCTGACATTCCTGCCTGGCAGACAGATGAACCCCCTCACCCCCAGCATATCAGGCCTGGGCTTCAGTTCATGCCATCAGTTCAGGCTCAGACTCAGGGAGACTAGGAGAGCAGAAGCCGTGGTGAGGTCAGGCTGCAGGGTGACCCCAGGCATCTGCCTTCAGAAGACAAGATGTGCTCTCCCCTACCCGGCCGGCATGGCTCAGTGGTTGAGCATCGACCTATGAACCAGGAGGTCACGGTTTGATTCCTGGTCAGGGCACTTGCCCGGGTTGCAGCTGATCAATGATTCTCTCATTGGTGTTTCTCTCTCTCTCTCTCTCTCTCTCTTTCTCTCTTTCCTTTCCTCTCTGAGATTAATAAAAATAAACAAACAAAAAAGATGTGCCCTCCCCAGGAGCTGCCACCATAGTACAATCCCCACAGCGTCATGAAGGAAGCGATATGACACTTGTCAGGGGGCGTAGCAGCTCCCACTGTGTTATTCTGAGGGCAGGCCACTTTTACTCAGTGACTTGATGAGATGGGAGGACTCTGACACCCACTGTACTACACTCATCAGTCAGGAGCCTAATTTATTACCTGTCCCCACAGGTGCGGCCTCTCCCAGCTCTTCCTGCTGCAGCCTGCAGCAACATTACCACTCAAACCTTCAATGAGTGGTGAGTCGGCCAACTGTCCCCGTGGGTGGAGGCCAGCAGGGGGAAGACGTTTTGGGGGAAGAGGTCATGCCAGTTACCAAAAAGAGAGCCGGTACCTATCTGAGTTTATCTTCCCACTGATTCAATGGGAGGCAGGGGAAGAGATAAGACTCATTAGCCCTCTCAAACCCTAAAGGTTAGAGCAGTCAGCCTATTATTTTCTCATTAATGCAGTCAACAAGCATTCACTAAATAAACCGTAGGTCCTGGGGATCCAGATTCCTTGTCACAACTAAAGGCTCACACAGCCTCTAAGTTCCTTCACCCCAAACATGATCAAAGAGTCGGAGCCCCAAATGGCTCCCCAGTTAGAGAATTGGTCTGTGTACCAGGCATAAGCTCAATTATGAGGCCATGGAAGACCTGAGTGCCAGTGCAGAATAAAAGCACAACCGTGTTTCGTTAAAACCAACAGCTAAAGAATCCTGGAGTTCCTCGCCTAGGACCCAGGAAGCCATCTAACCCGACCCCCCGCCCCCCACAAATCTGAACTTCACAGCTATGCGTTTCCTCCCTCCCTCCCCCACTAACTGCCATGACACCTACAAGGAACCTAACTTCTCCCACGCAGCTTCCCATTTTGTGACGATAATGCCCACGCTGGCATAGCTGCCCACCGTGATGAGGAGGATGGGCACACTGCCAGACAGCCTGGGAGTGAGTGAGAGGGATGGCACACTCAAGTGCAAACTGCGAGGAACCCACTCTTTGTTAGGGATGAACAGGTGCCATTATACTGATCCCGTGGTTATACCAGGATCCTGCTTGTGACGCGTGCTATCTACTGACATACACTGTTTTAGTCTCATTTAACCAATGTGTTGAGTCCTGAGGGTTTGGACATGAGCCAAAGGAGGGGGTTCATGTCCTCAAGGGGCTGTGTAGGCAGGACAATCCTGAAGCAATTCACAGGTAGGCAGTTAAAAAGACCCCTCCAAGGAGAAACAAAAGGGGGTGAAACCAAGCAGTGAGTGTTATAAAGAGTATGACCTGGGGTTAAAGTATGGAGCACTCTAGGCAGAGCCAGGTCTTCTAGGAAAAGAGGCACAGGCAGGCACACCCCTGGGGCCAGCGAGGTGTCTGTGGAGAGGGCAGATGGGGCCACACAGTGATCAATATGAGCTGAGAGAGGCTGTTGTCATGGTGAACAGCCCCACGTCAGGCAGGACCACCAGAACCCCACAACCCCACAGAAGAGCATCAGCTGGGGAAGCATGGTCACCAGGGTCGGAGTGGGAGGGGCCTTTGCTCAAAGAACTTCTCAGGAAGAGAGACTTTCAAGAGTCAACAGAACCCCAGTGCCACAGCCATGATACCCAGCCGAGCCACAGAACCACCCAGGCACACCCACCTCCCACTACCCACAGCCCCTCTTTCTCCAGCTGTCAAGCATCTGGCTGTCATGAGGGGCATGTGATGGTCACTGAGTCCCAGCTGTAGGGGCCTCACACAGGCTCTGGTCCATTGTTTCCTAATCGGTGGGTCAGGACCCAAGAGACTACAGGGGTGGCCCAGACGGGAGATATCTGAGGCTTTGGGGGACATACTGTCACTACTCAACTCTGCTTGGAAGCAGCCACAGACAACGTGTAAACAAACGGACGTGGCTGTGTTCCAACAAAAATTAATTTACAAAAAAGGCAGCCAGCCTAGGGGCCAGAGTTTGTCGACCCTTTACTAGAGGGTTATGAAGTAGTTGGAAGAACCAATGACTTCTTTTAAATAAAACAGAATAAAAAAGAAAATACCAGTGGGTACTGCATCTGGTAGAGTACGTAGTAAAGGTTAGCATGATTTTGTGAAACTTTTGTTTCAGCTTGTTTATATATAATTTATGTATACTTATAGTACTGAGTTTCAATGAAAAAATTTTAATGCTGTGAAATATGTCAAAAGTTTGAAGGCCATTGCTCTGATCCAACCCCTTCTTTTCCATAAATGGAAGCCGAGGAACAGGGAAGTGAAGGACTTGACCAAGTCCCCCAGCTCACTGGCAGTACACCTGGGGTTAGGACCCAGGTCTTCTGGTTGTCATCTTAGTGATCCTTTGCTATTCCTGAAGGCCTCTTGCTGTATCCAGAGACCGAACCACTTTCTCCCTGGTCCTGACTCCTGTCTCCTCCCGGGTGGCACCAGCAGAGGTGTGCAGGAGCTCGGAGCTGGAGGAGTAGCTGCCCAGCAGCTGCCAGGAGCCAGCAGGGCTTCGGGTGGTGAGCAGCAGCAGCACCTTGGAGAGCGCACTGAGAAACCAGCGAGGCCTCACCGGGCACAGAGCTGGCAGGGAAGGGGCTTCAGGCCCCCCGGGAGGCAGAGGGGCAGGGGAAGGAACCTGAGAGGAGACCTGAGTTGTGGCTGCGTGGACCTCGGGGTGGAGAGGGCAGAAGAATGCCGATTTCAGCAAGAGAAAAACTGATGTAGAAGCAGGAGGGAGAAAAGCCAGATGAAATGGTCAAGATGAAGGACAAGAGGCACAGATGATGAGATGGGATGAGCAGCGTGACTTGGGTTCTAAGTGAGAAACTGGGGGCCGGTTCCCAGTCTCCCCGCCCCAAAACCCCCAGCTGCCCCGCCAAGAATCTGAGTAACAAGCTCTGGCCCAAAGGAGAACAGTCACTCACACGGGGCATAAAACATCATCAGCAGCGGCTTCTCTTCCTTCTTCAGGAGCCGTCTGAAGTCCTGAGGCACAAGCAGAGAACAGCACAGGTCACACACTCCACAGTAACAGAGGCCCATCCCCCAGTGACCACAGTGCTGGGAGGGGCAGGCGAGCACTGCAGAAATCCCACTGTCAGATTTGGGGGCTGGCGGTAAGAGTCATGGCGTGTCAGGAGCTGAAGGAACCCCAGAGACCATCTCTTCTGAACCACCATTGCATATTACAGATGGGGAAACAGGCCCCCAGCAGACAAATGGCTTTCCCACGGCCACCTCCTGGGATGAAGGAGTCGGGACCAGGCTACCAGCTTTACTTTCAGCTCCACCTGAACAATTACACGTCTACAGGGAGCTTTTCATGCCGCATGAGGCTGTCGACCAGGCTGCCCCTTCTCACGTGGTCTATGAGCGGTTGTACTGTGATGGGTGGTTGTTTTCATGTAGGCCTGACATGCCAGACAGGGATCTGGAACATGGGGTTAACCCACACCTGCTAATCTATTCCCCTGGCCCCAGCCCGGCCCCCACTACCCGTGTCCCCAGAGCCCACTGTGAGCATAGGACAAGACATGCCCAACACCCCCAGGAGGTTACAAGCTACACTGACCATGGGTATTTGTAAAACCCGTAGAGAACAGTTCCCGGCCCACTGTTAGGCAATATAAAATTCTTGGTTGAATAAATACAATCAATGTAAAAAGACGAAGGCCACAACAGTGCTAATGGAGAGCCTTCTGTGAGAGCAGGGCAGGAGACCTTTCTTCCCGCGAGGGCCAACGGTGTTCAGGAAAAGGCAAATCTATTAAGGACGGCAAAGAAGCGCCACGACAGAGCATATTTTGATTAACAATAAGCTCCTCTAACCAGTTTCCATAGGAGAAAATTAGAGGTTTTTCTCTTCTGAACAATAAGGAAAATAAGAGGAAATTTCAAAATGCAGCTTTCTGGCAGCAACAAGACGTTAGGTAAATAGATGATGGTACTACAACCGCACAATGGAATATTGCTGCATCACTGCAAACTATGAAGAGGGGTATTTAATGTCACAATAAGATGTGCATGTTACATTAAGTGGGGTGGGGGAGCAAGTTACAAAACAGCATATTACAGCTAATGAAACTTTTGTTAATATTTATGTACCACATTATGTTGAAAGCCTAAAAGGCTACAGGAAATACCAGCAGTGGTATCTCTAAGGAAAGGGATGGAGTGATTTTTTCTTTCTTTTACCCTTAAGCTATATTTTCTAAAATTTCAACTATGAATACACATTACTTACAAATTGTCAGCTAGATAGAGAAGATTACAAATATTTTATGGGAATTTAATACATTTTATAATACATTCTGAAAATGTTTACTCTTGTTTATATAACTAAAGAGCGAAGGCACTCATTTTTTAAATTTTTATTAAATTTATTCAGATGACATTTGTTAATAAGATAAGTTTCGCCGTAACCGGTTTGGCTCAGTGGATAGAGCATCAGCCTGTGGACTGAAGGGTCCTGGGTTCGATTCCGGTCAAGGGTATGTACCTTGGTTGCAGGCACATCCCCAGTAGGAGGTGTGCAGGAGGCAGCTGATCGTTGTTACTCTCTCATCGATGTTTCTAACTCTCTATCTCTCTCCCTTCCTCTCTGTAAAAAAAATCAATAAAATATATTTTTTTTTAAAAAAGAAAAGGCACAGCTATTCCTTAAAAAAGAAAAAAGATGTTTCAAGTGTACAATTCTATAATATGTCACATGCAACCAACTGAGCCACACCGGCCAGGGCTCGCCCCTTTTACTCTTTGCTACCTCCCCCCACTCCCCTTTTCCCTGATAAGCACCATACTGTTGTCTTTGTCTATGAGTTTTTCCTTTGTTTGTTGCTTTCTGTTTTATACACATGAGTGAAGTCATATGGTTCTTATTTTTCCATCTGACTTATTTCACTGAGCATGATATTCTCAACATTCATCAGTGTTGTAAAAAATGGCAGTATTTCCCTTGACCAGAATTGAACCCGGGACCCTGCAGTCAGTAGGCTGACACTATCCACTGAGCCAAACTGGCTAGGGCTACTTTTTTATTTTTTAATTGATTTTTAGAGAGAGAGGAACTGAGAAGGAGAGAGAGAGAAACATCCATGTGAAAGTGAAGCATCTCTATGAGTTTTTCCTTTGTTTGTTGCTTTCTGTTTTATACACATGAGTGAAGTCATATGGTTCTTATTTTTCCATCTGACTTATTTCACTGAGCATGATATTCTCAACATTCATCAGTGTTGTAAAAAATGGCAGTATTTCATCTTTCCTTATGGCCGAGTAGTATTCCATCGTATATACATATACACCACATATTCTATCAAAGGACACTTAGTTTGTTTCCATGTCTGTCAAAAAGGCACTCTTTTAAGACAGAATTTGTAACCCAATCTTTGACCCTGACTTGGGATGGAGGATGCAAACACTTTGAAAATGATCTGGAATCCCTACAGATAAAACCTGGTCAAAGGTCTGAGAAGAAACGTTTTTCTGAGCCTGTCACAATTTGGTTTCATTTCCTGAGTAACAACAAATATTACTTTACATTCAGAGATGCTTAGTTACCTTCAGTAAGGATGGATTACAAATCTGAATCGGCAATTCAACTTGCATTTGGAACTTTTAGTTATTTCATGTGGGGATTTGATTAGCGAAAAAGCAGCTGTATCTATATTTCTACATGAGAGAAAATGGCAGAAAGTATAACAAGAGGACTGCCTACAGACGTGAAAAAATATTTGCTTAATATTTCTAGTCACAGAAGAGCAATCTTAGGAGCCTGAGGACATGCACAGCTTGGGGAGGGAGGCACCAGGCTATCACTGGCCAGGGGCTAAAACTGCATATTATCACAAGATCTACCCAGGAGCAACATCTTTTTGAGCTGTTCGTTGTTGCATAGCTATAGGCACAGGTGCCACCACCTCCTGGCACTTGACATGCTTCTTAAAAAGGAAAGAGAGTCAAGGCTGAATGGAGATGATAAATCAGTACCTCCAACCCAACCCCAACCTCCCCCACCCCCGCCCCAATCCTGGCCAAACCCAGAAACTGAAGCTAAAAGAGGGTAAACAATTTGTTCAAAGTTACACCATGCCTCAGAATATTAGAGACCTGACCCAAGCCTCTGGAAATATAACCCAAACCTCGCAGATGATTCTTTAAGAACAACAACAAACTCAAACCCACTTTTTTAAAAAGCAAAAAACACAAAGTCGATTCCAGCAGCAACCAGATTACATAACAAGGAGAGGACATTTAAATAGATATTCCTATACGGAAACTCTAAACATGTTAAAATACATTAAGAAGGAGTCCATGGAGGAAGCTCTCAGGCAGCCTGTGAGGTTGGGGAGGAGCATCGGAGAGGAGGGTCCTGACCCAGCTCCCCTGGGGGAAAGCACAGCTGGTCAAGAACACTCCACTTCTCAGCTCCTTGGGCACCTGTCTCTGGGAGGCCATGGTTCAGGGGACGCTTCCAGCGACCATCAGAACGGATAGGGAATAGATTACCTTTTCACTGTCAATGTGAACCACATCTTTGGCTCCAGGATCTTCCTCCCACAGCGGGGGCCCTTTCGGATCCTTCAGAAAGGCCACTATGGACTGAGGAAAAGAAGACAGAAGGCAAAACTCCATTTAGCCAGGAAGAGGGAGGTGGGGGAGACGGGAATCTGCCTGTTTCCCTGCCTGGAGACACAGGTGCCTGGAAGGGAACTGCATGCGGCCTGTGGGCATACACTTGGGAGTGTGCCATTCTGTCACCCACTGACGTCACTGTGAAGGCCCTAAAAATGCACCCCCTCCACCAGGCCATTTTTCAGCCACATGACACTTTGCTCTGGTCAGTTGATCCATACCTACTGTGCTTCTCCATGGAACCAAACAAGGAAATTTGAGACAATCAGTTGGCTTATTCAAACCAGAGGTACATTCTGCTAAATCCCACCTCCTCCAGGAAATCTCCCTGATGGGTTTGAATAAAGGTCTCCAGCCCTGCCCAGAGCAGATACTTTCACTTTCATGCAGCCACTAAAAGCGTTCACCACACTTATGTAGGTAATCACATCTACTTGTAACCTGCCTGGTATTTCGTGATCTCAACTGCGTGAGAGAGCGTTAACCCTGACCCTCCTCTGTGGAGCTTGGGATGGGAAGCCCCAGAGCAGGGGGCCCATCTCTGTGGCCTGGTTCCTGTACTTCTCTCCTTGGACTCCTATCTAGACGGCCCAGGATTGAAGGCCGGACAAAGAGCTTCAGGTACAGGGCTGAAATAGCCTCTGTCACGTGGACAACCGACTCCGGTGTCTGCTTCCTTTGGGAAGGACACCGTGGGGCGGGGGCCAGGGGCAGGTCCCTCCACCCGCCTCCGACCTGCCACACGTCACTGGTCCAGGACACCCGCAGCATACCCTTTCCCCTGTCACTCTGGGAAATGGTGCTCAAAGTCTGAGAACCAGGAATGGGTACCAGAAACTAGCCAGGCCTCCATCCCTCCACCCTGGAGGGAGCTCCCCGCCTCCGTGGCAACAGACAGAGACCTCAGTATCCCCCAATTTGATGCAAGATTCTGCTGCTCCTGTCCACTCTGCTCAAACTCCAATGAGCGTGGGATGAATTAGGCGTGTCCCTGTGTATGTTGGGGGAGGGAGGGAGTCTGGGGTGAGACAGGGAAAGACCCTCTCAGAGAGGCTACGTGTGAGGCTTATTTCTGGAAACTGCTATTTTGAAGGAGCTATTATAGGAGAATGGGGCACAGCCAAGACTCAGAAGGATTTCATTCAGGTAATGCTCCCTGTCCATCCAAAAGGAGCTCTGAAACACCTCCTGGCAAGAGGAGGGTGTTTCCACCAAAGGCAGGTGGCCTTTCCCCAGTCCCTTGTCTAAGCTACACTGCGACAGTACAGGCCAAAATGGAACCGCAGGGCCTTCTCGAGACCCACGCTCACCTGCAGCTGCAGGGGCCCCTGTTCACTGGGCCACTGAGAGAGAAGCTGCAGGTGCCCACCTGCACACTGGTGCAGGGTTCTCAATCTAGGGTGCACGGTGGGCTTCAGGAGCCTGTGAAACCCCAGACTCATGTGAACACACTTACTTTAATGTATGCTCACACTCTGATTGTGAGGAGGTCTGGGACTTTCAGGTGGACTATCAGTGGGTTTGGAATAGGCAGGACTCTGGGGGGCTCCTGTCCCACACCAGCACGAGCTGAGTTAAAGGGTTAGCGCAGTATCCCATTCCCCTACCCCCTCCTCAGCAGCCAGGAAAAAGCATGAGATAGCCTCTTTTAATGTATTAATTGAAACATTCGCACTTGCAATCTTTTGCTTTCAGGTAGAGATTATTCTTTTTTAACTGAAGTTGAATAATCCCATTCATAGGTTCTCTTCAAATTGTTCTAACCGACAAGATCTTGGGTGGGAAAGTGTGTAGGGAGCAGCCCCTGACCCCGCCCTCAGACGTCTTATTCCTGGTGCTCTGCATCCCAGGAAACGGCCCAACACCTGCACCTTGGTCTTCAGGATGAGTTCATGGCTACAGGGCCTTGAAGAAGGTCATCAGAGAGCCATCTGCATCTCGGTTTCGAGGCACCTTTGGTCCTCACCACTCATACATAGGAAGGATTTTGCTGGACAGACTTCTGACAAGCAGAAGGCCCCTTAAACAAGAAGTTTTCTCTTGGAGTTTCCTGCTTGTGACCCTCATTTATCTGGCCTCTGGCCTCTTCAGGGGCCAGGGTATAGTCGGCATAGTCGCTGTGACCAGGCCTTGTGCAGGAGGACAGCAACAGTAGTCACAGCATGAGCCGAGCTGTGCCCACCCTACCTCGCTGGAGACAGAGGCCCAGGAGAAGCCCCGAAAGGAGAACCAACCCGTGACCAGGGAGGGCCTCTGTCTCACCACTCCTGCTTAGAAGCAGAA